GATACTCTTAAAATATCCTTGATTTGAAATAGATTCTTGAAAAATTCTTGAATTTCTTCAAGAGCCCGTGAAGTTGAATTTTTCTGAAACGTGGATGTGGCAAAAAAGTAGTTGTCAGGCACAAATTTGAGTATATGAGCTTTGTTCTGCTTGACTGCCATTCTACAAACAAAGTTAGACCAGCAACTGTTATTACAAGTATAATTTCCTTACACTTGCACGTGTCACATGCATTTTTGTCTCGAGGGGCTATGACAGTTTGTGGCATATTGTTTAGTGCTGCTGACTACCCTTTTGCAATAAATTTTATTTAGAAAGTGTTTATGTTAAGTTAAAATGTTTGAACAAGTAATAGACCTTGAGAAGCAAAACTGGCCCTGAAATCCCTTTGAAAAGTACATGAAGAAGATGGTAATTTCATGTGAGAACCCTTCACTAACATTTTAAAATATTTACACCCGATTTTTTTTTACAAATCCATCTTTATTCCTCCAGCATTGATCACCCTTATCAGCTTGCAGAACTAGAAACAATTCAAAATTTACTCAAAGATGTATATGGATTCTTTATTGCTTTTTAGGAGGAAAAGATGCCGTCAGCTCTGGCTTTGGATATTTTATGTCGGCAGCTGTAGTGTTATCTCTTTGTCTTGTGTCTTATCTTATGCTTCATAGACTTGTAAGTAGACTGTACTATAAGCCATTACCCTTTAACTCGCAAGAGCGATCAACATCAATTTTCTCTCAACAATATTAGTTCATAATTGAGAGAAAAGGTTATGAGAAATGATAATATGATCACTAAGGGGAAATGCTTTGATCTTTTATCAAATTCTCTCAACTTGTTCTTCAATGAAATGTATAGAGATCAGTGTGGAGAAACTGCAAGTGGATATTAATGGGTCTTGAAGGGTCAAAATATTTCCTCCATACTGCTTTTGATACATTTACACTAAGGTTGTGTAACTTATTTGATAAAAATAATATCAAGATGATTTTATGAACACTTCCTTTTGCTTTTCCTTTTTATACAACATTTTTCTCAATAGCCTCTCTTTCACTATTTTCAGAAATTTGCCAGATTTTTCATAGCTCCACATGAACACAGAAAAGAGATCAGTAAGTAACAAAACAAAATACAAATAGTCATTGTGACCATTATTAATAAATTAACCCTTTAAGTGCCAATGGTGACCAACATCAATTTACTCCTAACAATGTCCATACAATGTCAAGAGATTCAGTTATGAGAATTGATAAAATGATCACCAAAGAGAAAATGCCTTGATCTTTTATGAAATTCCCTCAACTCATTCTTTAAGAAAATGTACAGAGATCCCTTTGGAGAACTTGTGTGTGGATATTGGGACTTGAAGGGTTAATTGTGACATGATGAAAATTATGTTAGTCTATCCTTTGTTTTGAAGATGATTATCTCAAGTAATGATTTGGGTAATGTGGAAAGCATTTTCTTTCGTTAGGCAGCAATGTGCTTTCCGGCATAGGAATGTTTTCATTTTTACACCGAGAATGCATCAACCTACAGAAAGGCCATTTATGTGATAAAATGAATTTAAAAATTTTGACCAATCATAAGAGTTGCAAACAATAGCCAAGAAAAGTTTAAATTTTACATGTTCCCCACATGGGATTTCTTTGTTATTCAGTGTGGCCAAGAAAAGATTTTGTTATATGGAAGTTGGTTGGAAAAGTAAAGATCAATGCAATACTGCTTTATGAAGTTTTCTTAACTTTTGCTGTTTAAGCCAATCAGAAGTTAGCTTATAGCACAGACAATAGTAAAGTTAGCACCTTTTTGTATTCCAACATGTTCAAAGCCGTTGTTGCTTTCCTTCTTATCTGTATGGTTGCTTAATTTTTCACTGGCTTGCTCTAGTAAGTAGTAATTGTAGCTTTAGGTATAATTAATTTTGTAAAATTTTGTTTCCATTTTCTGCATCCACAGAGTTCCCTAGCATCCAAGCTGATCAAATAGAAAGACTAGCAAACTGGCAGATACCACCTTCAAAAAAATCTGGAAACATCAAACATTCAACATTAAGTAAGAAGAAAATTGTTTAAACAGTTTCATGGTACCTTGGATAGCTTTTAGAAATGAATCTAATGAAAGTACCCTTGCTATGGTCTTCATTTAGTCTTTTTAATTCCTTGCCTTTTGCACCATATAATATGTCTTTAAAACCATGAAATTATGATGTGAAAATTTTTGTTTTGGATAAGTTTCACATATTATAAACAAGGTTTCTGTTCCACTCTTCGTGACAGGGTATTAACAGGTGTTTATACCAGGCGAGAGTATTTCTCATGTCCAGATATTAAGCCATCTAGTATAGTGTGGACATTAAAACTGAAAAATCAATAAGCTCATGAGAGTACAAATATATAATATTTTAAGATGGCCTTTTTAGGGACCTTCATTCAGTGGGGCTTATTTTTGGAGGCCTTTTTGTATTTTGAATCTTGGCAGCCTACAGAGAGAGGAGCTTTGCTTATAAATTATTTGGCATGCCAGAGTATGAACTTAAAACGACTTGTATGCTTTTTATCTTAAGGTTTGGATCATGAAGCTTTACTTGCAGTAGATTATCACCCCAAAGTTGAAGAAGTTCATAGAAATGGAAGACCACCATTTATGTTGATATTTAGAAAGGTGAGGAAGGAGTAAACTGCACTGATATAGTACTCTGTCTAGTTTTCAACAACAGTCTTGGCTCACTTGGAGAAATGTCGTCTTAAATGAGAGCCACAGAAAATGACCAGAAAAAAAGGGCCATTGCTGGGTGTCCCATTATTCAGATAAGCAGTCAAACCATTGATTGTTTTACAGTTCACTCTATTCTGAATTATGAAATGCTTTTTCTTTCAGATTGCAAAATATGGTCTGTCAGTTGCTCTTGTGTTTTTTGTTACACTTGCAGCATTTCCGTCCCTTACATCCAGAATACAGTCCGTAAACAAAGCTGATAAGTCAGAGTGGACAAGTAAGAGGAAATTTCACTTAGTATTTCTTGTTTGGTGTGAGTATTGTCCTTACTACTATGCTTACTAAATGATCATTTTCTTTTTAGATACCTACTTTGTGCCAGTTACTTGTTTCTTACTGTTTAATGTTGGTGACTTCTCTGGACGATTAGCAGCTTCTTTTGTTCAATGGGTATGTATGATCTTGCTTGTCTACACTACAATATTTCCCACTTATTAAAGTTCAAGTTGTCTTCCATATCACTTAGCTTTTTGTTGTTATTGATCAGCATTTTCTAAACCCTACTGTATTGATACAAATCCTGTAGGACAATTTATTGGACTCTCTTAACTTCAATTCAATACTCCTGGACAAGTAGATTTTCTTGCTAGGCAAGTAACTTCTAAAGCTTACTTGGTCNATTTGGACGTTTGGGGTGAATATAACCGGTCTAATAGCCAAGATAAGTATTAAATATGTTTTGCCGACATGTATTTGGAAATATTTCTGGCGGATTTCGCGGTATTTCGCGTTTTTTGGGAATTTCGCAGGATTTCGCGGAAATACCTGAATTTCGCGGGTCCGCGACAGCGCGAAATATCAGAAGCCCTGCATTATTCAGATAAGCAGTCAAACCATTGATTGTTTTACAGTTCACTCTATTCTGAATTATGAAATGCTTTTTCTTTCAGATTGCAAAATATGGTCTGTCAGTTGCTCTTGTGTTTTTTGTTACACTCGCAGCATTTCCGTCCCTTACATCCAGAATACAGTCCGTAAACAAAGCTGATAAGTCAGAGTGGACAAGTAAGAGGAAATTTCACTTAGTATTTCTTGTTTGGTGTGAGTATTGTCCTTACTACTATGCTTACTAAATGATCATTTTCTTTTTAGATACCTACTTTGTGCCAGTTACTTGTTTCTTACTGTTTAATGTTGGTGACTTCTCTGGACGATTAGCAGCTTCTTTTGTTCAATGGGTATGTATGATCTTGCTTGGCTACACTACAATATTTCCCACTTATTAAAGTTCAAGTTGTCTTCCATATCACTTAGCTTTTTGTTGTTATTGATCAGCATTTTCTAAACCCTACTGTATTGATACAAATCCTGTAGGACAATTTATTGGACTCTCTTAACTTCAATTCAATACTCCTGGACAAGTAGATTTTCTTGCTAGGCAAGTAACTTCTAAAGCTTACTTGGTCGATGGCCGGGGGTTCAGGCAAGTCAATGATCCTCTAACAAAATCATTGACTAAGGCAAACAAGAAGTGGCCCCAGGTGAGCAAATTGTAAGAGCTGCTCGCCCAAAGGAAAAACAGAAATTCAAGTTTTTTGTTAGCCCTACCCTTAGAACATGCTTAACCCTTTTATTCCTTGTAGACTGAGTTAGGGTGAGATGAATAATTATTTTTGTCATATAAATTTTTGACCTGTGCGACCATTCAGGTGAAAACTCCTTGGAGAACTTCTGTGTACTTCTGTTTATATTATATATGATATAGAACAGTCTTATCTGAGACATTGTTATCTGGTTTTCTTTTTAAGGGATCTCAGTCATTTGGAAAAGCACTGTTATCTTAAATAGGGCAATTTTTTTTTACTATTTCAGCCTGGTAAAGATGGCATAATTTTGCCTGCTCTCTGCATCTTAAGAATCGTCTTTCTTCCTCTGTTTGCCTTCTGCAATGCACAACCCAGACATGATGCTCCAGTGTTTTTTGGGGAGGATTACTACCCCATTGTGTTTATGGTGCTGTTTGCCATTTCCAATGGCTATTTAGGAAGCTTGTGCATGATGTATGGACCATCGTAAGTTGACTTGAATAATTTGTTACTATGTTTTCATTTTACTGCCTTAACACAGACTGGGGAACACCTTTCAGGAAATTTTTTAATGAACTGATTGTTGCCAAATATTTTTGCTACTCACCATGGAACCAAAATAATTGTCAAACTTGGAGTGCCCATCTAATTAAATCTGTCCAAATTATCTTTGCTACATATCAGGGTTGTCGGAAAGTTTTGAAGTAAAAGGCTGAGTTGTCAAAGTAAGCAGCCAGTCAGGGATATTCTATCTAAAAAACCAGGGTTCTCAATAGATTTTTAAATAGGAGGTGATCACTGATAAAGTAGGAGGCTCTTCAGCAAAGCCAGAGGTGTCAAAACAAAGCAAAGAAAAGCGACTTAAACACAAAGTAAGCGGCTATAAATCCCAAAGTAAGCGGCGATCAATCGCCGGGTGCCGCCTTCTATTGAGAAGCCTGAAAAACGGCATCCATAAAGAAATGCCAAGCAGAGTAGCTGGCCGATACTAACCAAGTAGGTGGTGATTTTCGCTGGCAGCCGGCTACTTTTGACAACCTTGTGCATATTGTTTTTGCCAAGTTCCAAATGGCATAATGTTGTTTTCTTTGCTCAGGCTAACTATGCAGATAATTTCAAAATCTTTACAATAATATTGTCGTCCATGTAGGGGGTTCCTATTAAAGTAACGGGTTCATCATAAGGAAAGTGCATTTTAATAACATGTTTTTTTTTGTCTCTGTCTCTCTCTTTCCTAGCACTGTTGAACCAAAGCATGCTGAGACAGCAGGAACTATGATGGCTTTCTTACTTATTATTGGCTTGGCTTTGGGTGCAGGGTTTTCTTTTGTCATCACTATGAATCTGTAGACCAGAGGCTGTGACTTCTTCCCAAGACTGAAGAGCATCACTTCTCCAGTAGATATGTGATCGGGAGCTCAGCTCCTAATAGAAGTCATGAACAAGGAACTTGACTGGATTCATTTATTGAGTCCTAAAAGCCTGTGTTTACGAAGTTGGAAACTGAATATTACTCAAACTATCGACAGAGTTAATGTCAGAATTTAAACTGTTCAATGCAGGACACTTGCATTGATTACAGGAAACATCATGTTCAAAAACAGTACATGTATTTTGATTTATATTATGGTTGTGATCCAGTTTAAGTAAGACTTTGAATTTCTCTTGTTACCTTGTTATAAAACGGGGTTTTGAGGGTAGAGGATTTCATGGAAGAGGTGTGGGTGTTTGTGAAAGTGGGGGAAATTTTGATAAAGCTTTCAAAGCGGCAGAGAAATAATTTCAAGCTCTAGTTTTAGTGGTGACAGTATGTGTTTAACATTAGTTCAGTTGTTTGTTTAGTGGTAGGGTGTACCATTAATTGCTAGAAAAATGGTTATAAACATCATGAAAAGGTTGTTATTAAAAAAATGATGATGATGATGATGATAATGGCTGTTTTCCTCAAAGGCTCCTTCATTGAATTATTGTTGTCTGATTCTTTTATAAAATGTTTTGACAGAAATTAATTTGGAGCAGTTAAAGGAGAACATGATTTATCATCTTATTTTTGTATCTTTGTTTAATTATGTTTATTGAGATTCATCTGTTCAAATTAATACTTTAATATAATATTGATCAACATGTTAAGCAAACATTGTTATAAATCCAGGTTTAATTTGTTATGAAGAACAGTTTACAAGTTCTTCAGTTAAAAATCGTGAAAGCAGGGATCCTCTGCTTAAAAATCTTTACGCTTCACTAGTTGACTGGTTGTGCTGTGATATTTTTGAAAACATACATACATAAATCATAAACATGGATTGGACTTCATATTATTGCATGTAATTTCCAATCCTTCAGTCTTTTAATACTGTATCCAACATACTTAATAAAGGCAACCAGGATTTTTACCAAGTTGGACTTATTAATGCTATTAATAACATAATGAACCCTACATCGATGAAATAACTTGACTCTATGAGACAAGACTTTGGTCCTGTATCCAGATATTGAAAACAGGGATTTTTTCCTTCCATTTTAGCCTGCAAGTTTCCAAAAACGGTCTCTCGAGGGGAGATTTTTAAAACATGGACTTCTTGTTTACATGTGAATGGGAAAAAACAGAGTTTTTCTATTACAATGATGTCATACTGATACATCATAATACTACCAGCATTATGCATGCTCTGTGAGGGATGCAATAATTGTATTTCCATCTTTTTAGCACTTTCATGTGGATGGGCAAAAACAATAATTCAAATAGGCTGTGCATGCATGCATACTTTTTTTGAAAACGGAGAAAAAAATCTCCATTGTCAAAAATATCCAGATATGTGTGTACAGGCAGGGCCTTTATTCTGGTGTGTTATCAGCACCTAGCAGTGTGGTGGCCAACTTACAAACAATGTTCTTGGCCAGATGATGTCCAAAACATGGCTTACCAGTAACTAATAGCATTTTCAGCAAAACTTCCTGGGATAGGCTGTGAGGAGTCTCTTGTTTTGTCTTCCAAGTTTGCAAGTTGCAATGTGTAACAAGAGATGGCCAGGTATCTCATGGCTGTGTCACTTGCACGGGATGTGTGATATACCTCTGCCTTTAAAGATAAAGAAGACTCCTAGCAGTCTACTCTAGGACAGATAGATTGTCATTAATTTATTTTTCAATAACAAATCAATTTTCAAGAAAAGACAGGTCTGTGACCATTTTGTTGCTTTGATTGTCAGACATGACTCTGTGCAGTTAATAATGGAAATCAGTTTTGTGCTTCATCAAACTGCTTATCCTTTCACTCTGCCAGCCTTTGCGTCGCACTCTAACTGTCTCTCCTCCAATCTGATGCTCTTTTATTCTCATTGTTTTGTGTACTCCAGTAGGGGAATTGAATGCAAGCAGACACCAGTTAAGTTTACCACCAGTTTCTGGGTCCTGCAAGTAATGACATAACGTAACAAAACCAAACTGTGAAAAGTATTTCTTGATATCCCTCTCAGTGACCCAAGATGGTAGACCATCAATGAATATTCTTCTGTCGGCTGTGTCTTGGAATTTACTGGTTTGGTCCCCGCGAATCACTACAACAGGATTACTTTTGATTACATGGGCTTGGTTCATGACATTGTTTACAGTATTACTGTTGTCAAATAGAACTCGTGCAACTAATCTTGGTTGAGGGTCGTCACTAACCAAAACAAAATTCAACACAACTGACAAAATTGTGCCAAAGTTCTCAAAGTAATTTCTTATTGAATTGACTGTACTATCTTCCGGGGGATACACAACAATTTTATCAGTAAACGTTGGAGACATTCGGGCCAGACTTTTCCTGATTTCCACGGAGCAATTCCCCAAAGCTTGGATTCGATTTTTAACCGCCTCCTCAGCTTCTTCTTCGTATGTGAAGTGAACAAAACAGTAAGGATGTCTTTTGTTTGTGGTAGGATCGACTGGTAAATCTACAGCAAGGACTGCGCCAAAACTGGAGAAATGTTCCATAATTTGTTCTCGGTCGATCTCCGGTGTAACATTCTTCACACATATCACGTTAGTTCTGCATTGTGCAGGTGGAGGATTATCTGTAGCATAGGCAAGACTTAACTCACGGCCCTGAAATGTATGAGGATGGTTTAAAGCGCGTTTAGCCGCAGATTCATCCTGGAATGTTACAAAAGCGAATCCCTTGGATCTACCAGTGACTTTAGTAACTGGTAACTCAACCTCCTCAATATCGCCAAATGAAGAAAAATACTCCTCTAAATCGTACTTTTTGGTTTTGAATTTCAAATTCCTGATAAAAAGTTTTCGGCAATTCGTTGCTTCGTTCTCAGAGGAAGAAGACTGGTTTTCTTGATGCCACGCGAACCCTAGAAATAATGGACGGCGCCATATTGGATTCCACATGAAGGAAGAGAACAAGCCTTTCACTCCTTCCGAGGAAACAGCCGCAAAGATTCTGGGACGAAGACATGCAAGAGACATCTGGGTTTGTTTTATCGTAAACCTGGTTTGTTTCTGAACTTTCTCCAGCTCTTCTTTTTCTATTTTCACCTTCGCATTTCCTCGCTTTCCAGCCAGGTCAGTCTGCGGTTTTCGTTCAAAGACTTCTTCGTCATGTAAATACCACTTAAGTGTCTTGTCAGGTTCCTTTAAAATTCCCAGATTACGTGCCCTGTTAGGTAGATTTGTAGGGTTTAAGAGGTCACGTTAGGTCTTTATATTCATCTAAAGTTTTTAGAAAATTAAAATCGCTACATACAGGAAAAATCAGGTACTTTTTAATCTTACTTCTCAAACTCATTAATAATTCATAAAGAAAATTCAGAGGAAATTAATGTTTAATGAGTGTTTGGATATCAGATGAAAAACTGCTCATTTTTGCATCCTTAATTTCTCCTTCAAAAATGATTTTGTTTGAGAAGAAATATCAAACATTCGACACAGAGTTTTATCACCAGATGAAACACGCCGCAGTTCGTCAAAAATACTCCGCTACGCGTCGTATTTTCAACTCTCTTCTCGGTGTTTCATCTGGTGATGAAACACTGCATCTCATGTTTGATATATTACATCAACTTTTCAAGAATTCTTTCTAGATATAACTTTTAACAAGTGTGGCCATTATGGATGGTATTATCTATGGTGGCAAATTATCACTTACTAAAGATGAAAGAAAAACCTAAGACTACTTGCAATATCCACAGACAGTCAACCTGCAAAAGAGCTGGTAGCATTTATGATGTTTATTGTTGCATCATCAACTTTTCGATATCCAAAACGGCGAATTTGTATTTTCTTGTCATTTATGTTATGTTCTTCTTCAACCATCACTTTATTGACATCTTGAAGTGTCATGAAAGTCACAGTACAGTTCACTTTCTCCCCTGACCCACGATCTTCAGAAAACTGCACATGTTGGACACTTCCAAATTGACGGAAGTATTTGATAACATCTTCCTTTGTGACACTTTTTGGCAGCTCACTAACAAAAATCTTCTTCTCAAAAGGATACGCAAGAGTAGGTTTGGGTAAACCCCGTGATGGGAAAATTTCTTGACTGTTAATGAAATGAGTCTGTTTACTTATTTCATGTACAGTATGTTCATCTTCAAACAAAAGCGAGAACATTGGATTTGTACCAATGTTATAATTTGCCCAGGCTGACCTGATCTTTCCAAACCTTCCAAAATATAACACAACTGCTTCGATCGCAGCATCAGCAGAAACAACAATCCTGTTGCTTTTAGTAAGGGATGTGCACATTTTTGAGTTACTCTTCTGAATTTGAACTTCCTGGTGGCAAAGAATTTGGTTTACATCTTTACAGGCTAACTCTGCTTCATCAGCACATGAAAACTGGACAAAACAAAAGTCACGTTTGGTGTTGGCTAAGATGTCAACTGGCCAATCGATCGCCCTTACGAAACCATATTTTGAAAAGTGTTCCGTCATCTGTTCTTTTGTCATAGTGGAATCCACATTTCGCACCTGGACAAAAGGCGTTTTTTCAAACTGTTGTGATATCGGGCGGCTTTTTTGAACAACCAGATGACGGCCACCCATTACGTGAGGTTGACGAAGGACGTTCACGAAATCATCATCATTCTTATACGTTATATGGGCAAATCCCCGAGATCTCTTGGTGGTTTTTGTTAGCGCCCACTTGAAACGTTCAATCTCACCGAACTGAGCAAAGTGCTCACGAAGACTTTCTTCCGTTATCGGCTGTTTAAAGCTGGTGACGAAGATTGTCCTTTCGTGAGCTTGAGGCACCCCTTCTTGGTCTGTATTCTTTTCTGAGAGCTCCGCTGAAGACAAAAAATGCTCGGTCCAGAAATTCCTCGAAGGACTGCCATGTTGGTGCTGGTGAAGAAATGGGTGTCCTGTGTTCCTAGATAGAACTATAAAAGGTCTGAAAAGCCTCGGAAAAAACCTAGAAAATGACTGATACGCTAATAATGAGCCAAGTAGACTCATTTCAGTTGATTCTTTACTAGGAAATACCAGATATTTCAACTAAATTTGCAGAGCATATGGCTTCCAAACGTGACCGAGATGGACTGGAACACCGGACTATTTATACATCCCCTGTAGGGAGGTACTGGGAAATTTAAAAAAAATAAATATAAAAGATATAAATAAACAAATATATAAAAAATATTTTTTCAGTTTTTAATGTAAACAAAAATTTACAATCTGCATCCATTTCCTGCTAGGATTTTTTCAATTTTGTCTAAGATCAACTCGATGCATTGAATTACAGTCGCCACGTCTGGGGAGGAGAGGGGAATGGAACGCCTGCCTGAAATTGAGCATTGTCAATTATTGTGGATACCGTTTTACATTATGGCTTACTGCTCTTTTTTCCTGGTTCGTGGTATACCAAAAACTTTAAATCTTCGACTATATACAAGAAGGATGCCCTGTCAAAAATCCATGTCTTTTTGGCGCCTGTCAAAATCACGGCTTGAATTCACTGGCTTTCGTGCTTTTTCGTCTCTTCTTTCCGATGAAAAGAAACGAGATCTGCTTGACGAAAGAGCAATATTTATCCGTGATATTCCGCCTAAAACTCCCAATATAAAAGAAAAAATACGAGAGTACTTTTCATCGTTTGGAGAAGTTGAAAATGTACGACGCAAAGGGGCGGATATGATGTTTGTCTCTTTCAGAAGTGTTGAAAGCGCAAAGAAAGCTCTGAAACAAAAACATTTCTTCGAAGGACGATGGATGACAACTCTCCCTAACGTTAAAAAAGGAATGTGGAGAGGACATTCCTGCAAGATTAAAGTAGAAGACGTTCTACAAAGTATGTCAGAAGAGGAAATAACAAGCTACTTTTCTAAGTTTGGGACTGTTACAAGTGTTGACTTTATCATCTTGGACCCAGAAACTTTGAAAAGAAAAGACTTCTGTTTTGTGGGATTCTCAAAGATGAGTGAAGCAAAAAAGGCAGCCCTGGTTCAGATCCACAAGATTGGCGAAAACTCCTGTAAAGTTTATTTATCAACTTCTAAGTTCAGTGCTGTTGAAAATACCAAGGAAATCATTGTCCGTTCCCTGCCACAAGATGTAACTGTTGATGATCTGAAAGAGTATTTTGAGCAGTTTGGTGCTATAGAGAAGATTGATCTTATTTGTCAGACACTTGCCCGTCCTCATACAACGTATGCATTTGTAGCATTTCAATCCCCTTGTAGTGTAGAGCAAGCATCAGATAATTTGATCCACACAATATGTGGAAAGAAGGCAGTTGTCCAAAAATCTGCTTTGTCTTACCCAATCAAAAATGGACACAGGAAGCTTTTTGTTGAGGGCTTTCAGCCAAACACTGATCCTGAACATGTAAGAGAGTATTTTGAAGAGTTCGGAAAAGTGGAGTATATAAATAAAACAGCCATTCGACCCACTGGGAAAACTTACGTTGTCTTCAAATCAAGTGCAAGTTTACAACATGTTTTGCAACTGAAAGAACATGCCTTGGATGGGTGTAATTTGAAAATCCGCCCAGTGTCTTGGAAAAGACCCATGACATTGACAGAAATGACCGAGTTAAATGGTCGAGAGATGGCAGAGTAAAATGAGAAGAACGAGGCATCTGATAGACAAGATTTAGCCTTCTGTGAATCATCAGCCAATGTTTTCTAGTAAGGGGGAAGATTAGGAAGTGACCAAGTCAAAGTCACAACCAGAAGTAGGAGCACTCCATTGCTTATTTTTTCTACTGAAAACTGGATTGCGGTAAAGAAATCATATCAGGCGTTGTCTGCTAGCAATGTAGACAAGATCACAAGCTATAATCAAAAATCAATATTTTTTTTAATGTTGTAACTCTGATTGCTCGAGTGTTTTACTTACAACTCCAATTCTTACATTTTCACTGGTTGTAAGCACTCTTTTAACTCCAATTATGATTCCAATAGTAGAGGTGACAAATGGTTTTTCCGGCTAAAGTGCGATAGCCAATGACTTCTTTCTATTCAGACATGGAGCCTCATTCACAATATTTTCCTGGAAATTTACATCTGTCTCCTGCTACTAGAATTCTTAGTGAAAACCCTGCAAAGATTAGAACATTCTTGAACCCAGAGCTCTTCTTTATTGCGAGTGACACAGACAAGAAGAGCTCTTCTCGTCTGTAGTCATGCTGTGGGTTGAGGATGGGATCAGAAATTGTTTCACTTGTCAGACTCTGTACTGTTAAAATACACAATAATAAACAAGGATGACAGCTACCAGTATCTCTTTAAACACTCACTGTGTTGTTCCTGAAAATGTCCATACTCCTCCCACCCCCAGAGAAGTTTGGTTTGAGACCTTCCACTCCTCTGGAAATTTAAAAAGAGTTTGTCCTTTACGACCCCCTCCCCCTTGGAATTTCCAATAAACCTGCACGAGGTGGATACATATTTTCTTAAACATTAAATTTCAGTAAGTTTTGATACCAAGCTAGCACAGGATATATTTTGAAACACTGTTTTCCACAATGATTTTAGCAGCTATTACACCTGGAACAAATATATATTTTTCACAAACTTTATTTTCCTTTGTCAAAGGCTTATAAACTGATTTTAACATTATTCCTTTGTTTCCTTTTATATGTGGAATCACAATTTTTATATACTTTGCAAATAATGTTCAATAGCAACTTAGAGATTTCAATGAAAATTATGAAATTACCTTGTTCCTTACCAGCATAACAAAACAACAAGAAAACCTTAAAAATTTATAAGGCTCATGCACTTTGAAAAGAAAATATCCTCTGTGAGTATGGTCCTCATTAGCTAACAAACATTAGATAAGTTCTTAATAATATTTGCACAAAAATAGAGTAATTTGCTTGCATAAATTTCTAATACCCATAGTTACCAATTTAAAGTATTTGAGGTAAAACTTTAACAATAGCATGGAAAAGTGCCTTACTGTCAAACTCAGACTTACTGTCAAAAAAAAATTCAGGAATGTTGATTGTGTACTGGCCAATTACAGTAAAGTTAAGGACACGCAAGCAAACTACAAAACCACAAACTAATTACCATTCCTGTTTGCGGTTTAGTTTTCTCCCGCCCCAGTGGCAAATTCCTCACAACACAATAACATTCCATAAACATTTCTGGTGTTCACTGTTTTGTGAGTTTCACAGTAAGTGGCCTCAGATTACCTGCTAAATTCTCTTCCAAAATTGCCTTGTACTTGTTGGTGAACAAAGGAGAGAATTTACTATTGCATCAATCCTTAATGGCCCTTATTCAACACACCCCTTCAACTGCACCAATCACTGAAGACAGAAAAGAACCCTGAGTAGCTCTTGATCTAAGGTAAAATTTCTTCCATATTAACTTTCTTTGTTTTAAAAGAAACTAGTAAACCAGGCAATTTGGACAGAGAATTTAGGAGTAAATCAGGAGTTCCCCGTGACTTCTTTCCTGGAATTCCTCAAGTACTGGTAACAAGAAGCATCAGTAACTCCTCAAAAATCCATTTATTGACAATGCTATGTTGTGGGGGGGATGGGTGGATTGCATGGAATGGGCTCTCTGTTTAGGAGATGGCTGGGGGCTGACAATAGCAATGAGACAGCAGAAGAAAATATTGCAAGGGAAAGTGCCCTTTTCCTCTTCCTAGTCCCTCACTCAGCTAGCTTTGCTGGCAGGCTAGTGGCCAGGGCGTAGGGAGGCAGGGGTCCTTGAAGCCTCATTCAAGGGACTGCATGAATAAAATAACATAAACTTACAGTACTTAAGTCTTAAGCTAGTTAGCAGGCTTTGAATCGCAAGTTATTTGCTTTGCTGTTTCCTCTTTCTAGAAACTTCCCGTATAAGGATGCCATACGGACGCACATCACTTGTATGACCGACTGGGGACAACCAGTAATCAGCTCCTGCCCCTGTTTCTGATGCAGGGATGATTTCGAGGCGACCATTTTTCTGATCAGGATTGACGCGATTCTGTAAAACAATCTTGTAGGTTTTTCCCTTACAAGTGAATTCTTGGGCATACAGCTTTTCAACCATTTCAAGACTAGGGCTGGTATAGATGCCTTTGCCAAACAAAGCTCTCAGCCCAGGTTTATAACCTTCTTTTAAAATCAGCTTAGCACTGCTCATGTTTGTTCCGTGATACGCTACAGGCCATTCCCCAGAGGATTCTTTTGTACGTAAACCATTTGCACCAAGCCAGTCGTCGTTGCCGTACCTTCCAACAACTTTGATTGCAATTCTTTTCCAACCGTACGGTCGCTTGTACTCGAAGCCTCCCCTCATATACTTTTTACCATCATCTTGGACGTCGCTGAAGTCGTAATCGAAGTCGGGATCGAGTTCGTTTGTATCAAACGCGCGAGGTAAGGGACCCCCTCCGCCGCGAAGGCGAGGAACCAAGTGGATACTGTCATCGGGTTGGATGTTGTAGTGTTTAACAGTTTCGAAATCCATAAGTTGTCGTCCCGCATAAATGAGTCGAATCTCATCTACTGGTTTACCTTCCCTTTCTTGAATCTTAGCTTTGACTCGCTCGATTCTGTCTTCTCCTTTCACTAGAATATTAAATTCTTGGCCATACAACGTCAGCACGCTCAGAGAGAATTCTCCTTCGCCGGGTTCGAGTTTCGCGGGGACGGGTCTCATCACGTACGTTTGGCTAAAAAGCTCGTGGATAGAAAGTTGATTCCCATCGTCTCCTTGCGGGGTTACTTTGGTACCAAGGATTGCTGAGAATCCGGCGCTTAAAAGATCCAAATTGGACATTTTTAACTTTGTGAATACAGTGCAGAACCGTCGATCACAAGCAATTCGCGGAGCGGCAATGTGATGAGAAGAAAGAGCGGGAAATCACACTTCCATATTTGGTGTGGCCTGTTAAACATTTACTTTTGTGGAGTTCGTTTCTTTAGCTCGCACGTCAAACTTTTATACTCTGGCCATGGGTGAAAAAGAGTTGAGTTCTTGATTGAAATAATTTAGAAATGAAGACAGCCC